ACCTCCTACCTCCTTCGTCTCTCCTCCCACCTTTCATCTGTGCATGTGTGTACGGGATCTGGGTACCTTCTATGCATGACCCAGACCCCACCATCTCATGATTGTATGGTGTGGAGTGATGCCATGTAGGTCAGTCTATGTGAGTCAGTCTATGTGAGTCAGTTCGTTATCAGACTTCCACTGCATAAATACTCATCCTATATTGGTTGATTCTTGGTTCTGCCCATACTCATTGGAGTACGTAACACGTAGCTTGTGGTCAAAGACCTGAAACAGGGGTCAAAAGTCATGCCCTAAGTCTGAGAAAAGCCTGGGCAAAGCCCTAAAGCCAAAGGGTACCCAGGGCTGGGTCAGAAACAGCATACAGAGGCCCTACGAGCAGACTCTGCGAAAGTCAACGCTCAACCCCAGCACGGGATTCCAGGCCCGAAGGTCAAAGTCAACCCTCTGGTCAGCCACGCATCAGATGCACACCATTGGTTGTCTGCAGGTATCCAGAAGAATCCAGTTCAAGTGGGACACGTGGGAAATCTGCAACAGCGCAGCATCCAGGCCATTGGTGTCCGATTGATCTGGGCCATCGACGCCAGGAGACCAGAGGCTTGTCGACGTGAGTCAACACTATAAAGTTGGCCCAGCCCCTGCTTGGAGGAGATTCTGCCTTGTGCTGGCTTGACGCTGGTGTGTAACGCAAGGCTGCTGGAGCAGTATGCTGGTGCCAGATGCTAGTAGTGGGCGCCAGCCTTGAGGGAGATTATGCTGTAGCAGCCATAGCCGCGTAGATTTAGACATTGATGGGAGTGTGGGTGAGGAGGAGGATCTGGACTGTGAGATTGGTGTGCGTGATGAGGGGAAGCTTGCCTGGCCTTACCTGTGACGTCGTGTGTGTTATGCTTCTCGTCTCCGAGAAGGTTAGGAAGATTTGCGCCATCCTCCCTGTTTAATGCCGATGGGGATGGAGGATGGGCGCCCTGTTGTGACCTGCTCATTGTATATGTCGGAGATCGTCAGAGGAGAATTGCATCACTGAGGTGGCGAGAGAGGGAAATGCCCAAGGAGAAAGTGGGCTTGAGGAGGGATTATTGCTTTACTGATTCTCATGGAAAATCTCCTCCTCCTCCTCTCTGTCTCTTCTTCCTCTTCTCTCACTCTCTTCTTTGAAGTTTGAGACACTGGGAGATTGCCTGTACTTCGGGCTTGGACACATAGACAATTTCTAGAAACACCATTGCTGCGCTGAGTCAGACTTGTATCACAACATTCATGAGCTTCTCATCTGTCTGGGTTCATTGCAATTTGGTATCAGAGCGATATCCTCCTACTTCGCGCTATGCTGGTTGTCACGTTGGAGGACGACGACGACCATGATGATGATGATGATGATGATGATGATGATGATGATGATGATGATGATGAGGTGGTGATTGTCAACTGTGGAGTAGAAGAGTGGCACTGTTACATGCCCAGTTGGGCAATGTATGTAAAGCCAAGGATCCGCACTGTGATAAAAAGGACTGAATGGACAATGCGATGGTAGTGGAATCTCAACAAGCAATCTACATCCTGATACATACAAAATGGGACCTTGTGGTGCAGTGGGACTTAGATATAAGCCCTGACCTGACCGGGACTGACCTCTCTCACATAGTACAAGACAGCGCAGCGGAATGCTAGAATACCAATAACTAGCCCAATCAATGTCGCAATGCAGACCAAACACACATCATCCTCGTCACAAGGTGTGAAGGGGGCCTGGCACTACACACAGGAAGAATGCGCCAGGTCCAGACCATACACAGACAAAGAGGAGGGGATCAGACGAAGAAGAGGGGGAAGATGGGAATGTCGTCAACACCAAGTCTTTGGTACAAGTCCCAGATAATCCCTCGTCAAATATCTGAAGCCCAATGTCGAGTCTGGATCCAAATGTCACCAATCCCGCTCTCTCTCGTAGTCTGCTGATTCAGTGAAGTCAGGTAGCGAGAGGGTGAGAGGGAGATGGTGGACTGAGAAGAGGAAGAAGAAGAACTCTCTCTCTCTCTCTCTCTCTCTCTCTCTC